CCTCAGTCAGATGCTGTAAATTCAACTAAGATCAAACTCGATCAAATGTTTCTCCACTAAGCCTGTTAAACATCACAGTAATTTTCATCGAAGCACTAAGATGCTGGGAAAATACTACTCAATGGTTTGTTGTGTGTTTCTTTTTTCCTTTTTTTAAGGGATCAATTTGCAGCTCAGTTACATTTTTAGCGTGGATAAATTCGTATGGTCTGTTTAATTTTTAATAAAGGGCTCAGAGAAGAAACTGAGCAGAGGCCTAAACAAGATTCTTTAGCTGTTGAGTTTAACTACAGGAGGATACTCAGAAAAGTTAATCCAAACAGACTTTTCAAAGCTGTATTAAACTTTTTTTCAAATGTTTGTATTCCAGACTGAAGGGACCTTCTTTAGGTTTGTCTGACAAAACCTGTATTAGCTACAGTTTTAATCTTAGCTATTTTAATCTTTATTTGTTTCTCAGCAACAACCCATATGGGAACTCAAATTCTTGCTTCCTGGTGTCATGGTTTAACGCCAGCTGGCAACTAAGCCCCACATGGCCGTTTGCTCACTCCCCGCTCCGTGGGATGGTGGAGAGAATCGGAAGGGTAAAAGTGAGAAAACTCATGGGTTGACATAAGAACAGTTTAATAACTGAAATAAAAGAAAGTAAAATAGTACTAGCTATTATTATTATCATTAAGGGTCGAGCCTTGATTAGAAGCAGCAGCATTTCTGTGATGTAAGCTAAACGCTGAACTTTGCTTACTTAGCTTTTTTTCTTTTTTATGATTTGTTGACTGATGACAGAAGCAGCTGAACCAGGTCTAGTATCTCTCTGAGGTCACAGCTTTAGGGAAGAGAGATGGGTTGTTGCATTTGCTTTGCAAGAAAAAAAAACTTCACAGGTTGTAATAATTTCTTGAACAGTATAGACATTGGGGAAAGAATTGCCACCTTTGCAATTTGAATGCCAGGATATGAAACAGGCTATGAACTGCTCATCTGGTAATACTGGATGAAATGACTGACAGGCTCAATCACGGAAGAACCTGGACATCTGTGAAATACAGAAATGGGACAAAAATGCTTCCCGTTTCCACAATTTTTTTCTTCCTCTAACAGAAATTACATAATGAACTTATAATTAAATATGAAGGTTAGTAAAAGCCCTTCTATTTCTCTGGTCTCAAAAGATAAAAAAAAGAAAATTACAGGAGGACCAAATACCCACCACCATCTCAAGTTGTTCTACATAGATGTAAGGTTTGTAGGTAAGAGATCAAGACAAAAATCAAGACCAGATTAAAAAAAAAATTGTTCTTGAAACACTGACTCGAGGTTTCCAAAACACGCTGAGAAGGGTTATCCAGCATCACAGTCTGTCCTGAAAACAGTTCAGCAGATCCACTAATGTACTGCTCTAGGTCTGCAAGTTAAATCCAACAAATCCTAAGAGCAAATGAAAGCCACTGTTAGTGGGAAGAATCTTCTAGTTATTTAATTTTTTGTAGTTTAGACATGTTACATTTCCAGAATTTGAAGCAATTTGATCATTTCTATATGTATAAATCCAGAGAAGAGTGAACAGAGGAGCTGCTGCTTTCAATAGCAAATGGAAGAAATCAAAGTTGCTGAAGTCTTACTCTGCTTTTCTGCTCCTTCCCTCCACTAACACTGAACATGGTTAATACA